CAGTCTTCCCAGGCTAAGGAAAAACTAACAATTAAAAAATTAATTTAATCACTCCTCAAAGCCCATTTAATTAGACTTCTTAATAAATAGTGAGCTTTGATACTGTGCTTTAAGTGCTTATTCTTTGGAAAGAGACTTAATTTCAAAAGTGATGTAGAAAAAATTATTTCCATTTCACAAAAAATTTTGATCAAAGTCCAAATTAAAATAATGTAAAATAAGAAGTCTATAAAGTAAAATGAACATTAGGATTATTGAGATTATTGAAAGTAACATTAGTCTCTATATGTGTAAATTATATTAATAAATTGTACTCCTCTGTGTTGCAGTTTACATTTTTGAAAAATACAAAATTAGTGTCTTAGTTTCTATATAATAGTAATATTATTAGGAAGATTTTGGATTAATTTTTTAAATTTAGTGTGTTTCCCAGATACCTCTATTTCTTTTCTCTGTGCCAAAAGCTACATTTTTGTGCCCCTACATACCATGTAGAAATTGATCTGCAATACATGTGGAGTCTCCAAGGGTATATTTAACCGTAGTAATTTTATTGCTAACTGTGAAGTTAATCTGCACTGTATGGATTCTTTTCCCTAGGAAACTGAAGTAGCAGTTCAAGCTAAACAACCTGATGTGGAAAGGATTTTGTCCAAAGGGCAGCATTTGTACAAGGAAAAACCAGATACTCAGCCAGTGAAGGTAATGAAGCAACCTCTAGCAATATCCATTATCTCATAATGGGTTACGTTTCCCCTGTTGTACATTTGACATTGACGTGGTATATTTATAATCAATGAAATGACTTGTAAGGAAATATTGGTTATATTGCAATAGCAGAGGTAAAGCTGTCTTTTTGACCAACATATCCTATTTATATATTGTCACAATATATCTTATTTATATATTGTGATCTTAAAGCTATTAATCAGTCATTGCTTTAAAGGACTCATTTCTGTCTTAGTGTGCTACCAGAAATACAGAAAGTAGTCCCACCTTCAAGGTAGATTGAATTCTTTTGGGCTTTATTGCTTTGCTTGCCAGACTTGATGCTTTTAATATTGTTTGGCTTAATTCAAATCAAGCCACTGCATCATACTGTCTGTCTCCAAAAACTGTAAAGAATCACAATATGGTCCGTGACCTTTCCTTTCTCTGTTGCTCTTTCTTATGAAAGAGGAAAACTGGCATTCGAGCTTCAGTACTTTATTGGGTCAAGAATTTTTAGTGAAATGTCATGTAATTGCTTCTTTCTTTTGTAAAAGGCTGGCTTGGGTGAAAGCTTTCTATTTCTTCCCCTTCTCTGTGTACATTTCGAAATCTTGGACACATTTATTCGGAGGCTCTTAGTTGAGGAAAGGGAAAGCCAGCTCAGTATTCAAAAAACAACTAATCAGTGGCCTCCATTTACAAATGATAATCCAGCGATAAATAAATGTTAGGTATAGGTTACCTTATTCTCTATACCTGACCAAAATTATAATGGCTCACATTATGATGAGGGTTCCCTGAGAACCTGTAATGGTGGCTGTTTATTGATCAGCCTTGGTTTCTCAGCTAATGTTGCAGGCTGCGATTTAGTGAGCCTCACCCTCATGTTTTAAACTACTCTAAAACACTACAGGTCCATAACCTCATTATACAGAACCAGTTTGTCCTTGCAAACAACATTGCTATGACTTAGACTCTGTCTCTAAGGTCACCGCTTACTTTGCCTTATGCTTGGCCCAAGCTTCATTTCTTGAAAATTGTTTGTTTTTCCTTCAGTTTACATGGGACTTTTCCTTATGTAAATTTAAAATTTGGACTTGAACATACTGTCCAAACATAAAGATGCTAAAAGGCACAAGTTTCAGGAGTACATTTGTCTCCATTCTTAAAATCCACAAAAAATAATTTGCATCCAGTTTCAAGCTTGGTATGATTTTTCATAAACTAACATTGTCAATGCTTGGTATTTAGATTGGAGAGTTAGAGATAGTCCTGAAAGCAGCAAATTTCAGAGTTCCTATTGAAACTTTGAAGAAAATCAATCCCCAGGATGCTTACCAGAGTGATCCTCATTGTAGCAAGCCATGAAATAGACAAATAGACCATTAAATAAATCCATTCTATCTTCTCTTGGTTGATCCTCAAAAACTTAATGCCATATGGCTATAAGAATGAGCACCAATCATTACAGATTATACAAATGGGCATTTAATTTGGCTTTACTTTGTGCTTTTAAAAAATACAGAGGAAGAAGGTTTAATTCAAAATTGAGGCAAATTTTGTAAAACAATCCAAGCAAACAGGGTTAAGTTAACTCACTTCCACTCACACCCTCCATTCCTGGGCCACTTTGAGGTCAGAGCCAGGATCTGTCGTGGCTTTGCATGTCTACTTTCTGCTGTTACATTAATGATGTAAAAAGAGAATGACACTTCTGAAATAAAAGAAAGAAAGAATGAGGAGATATAACTTCACTTCTCTTTTACCGCCCTTAAAATCACTTCCCCTTTGCTCTCTATTCAGCTCATTTGGGAGAGGTAGAATTTAATGAAAACTCATTCCTGTCCTACCACTTCTCCTTTGAGTTTGGATAAAATCAACATATCAAGTTCATATAGGCAAAAGAGAAAGATTTTTTTGTGGTAATAGGGATGGGATCTAGGACTTTGTGCATGGTAGACAAGCACACTACCATTTGAGCTGCACCACCACCCCCACAATTTTGATATGGTCCATGACCTTGGAAACACCTGAAGTAGCTGAGGATTGTGGCAGCCTGAAACATTAGAGGCTCAGAAATGGCACTGAACAATACAAGGCAGAAAGCTGTGGGGACATGGATCAAAAGCTTCTTTTTCAATAAGGTTAGGGATACTTTTTCTGAATGTTGATCCATTGCTCATATAGTACAACACTGAGTCCATATATCAAAATTTTTAAATTATGCTCTCCTCTAGTGCTTCTTCTCTTTAATTCTGACATTTCTTATCCCTTAATAGAAGGGAGATAGATATGAGGAGCCTTCAATATATTTTCATAAGAATACATTTTTTCTGTTTTTATATTTTGGGTGATGTTTCGTTTGGAAAGTGAAAATTCCTCATGAAGTATATATAAGGTTCAGTGTTTAAATGGATAACTGTCATGCCCATTGCTTATATACATTCTAATTAAGGACACATCAGAGAATGCTTCTGTTTCTTAGGAAACTGACTCTCTATTGGCAACTTCACATTCTGTATCACACAGCCTGTCTCTTCAGCTCCTGATTTCATCTCCCAAGTTGAGTCTGTTCTGGGAACTGGACTCATTCCTGTTCAGTATCTTTCCTTTCTTCTTCTTTCCTTTGCTTCATTAACCCTAACTAACTAACTCCTTCTTTATTTTCTTTGAGGATTTCCTGTTAAAGGTCAAAAATATATTATGAGATGGTTCTGTAAATGATTCAAATGCAGTACTAGATCTCTGATGTAAAATCACTGAAATTACTATAGAAGAGTATGATGGAACACTAAACTTCTTTGTTTTAATTCCCCTCTTCCTTGCTCCATTCTCCCACCACTTTTAATTTCAAGTGTATATTGTTCCTTCATCTTAACTTCAGAAATTGTTGAAGATCAATTATACACATTAGATCAGTTGTTTGAAATTTTGCTAATGTTATACTTTTGGTGATAATATTTCATTGTAATATCATTGATGAGAACAATTTTTATATGTCCCATTCACTGTAAAGTAATAACCACGTCATTAAAAGTACCCCTCTAGTAGCTAAATAGCAACAAAAGAGCCAGGTGTGGTAATCCCAGCTCTGGGGAGGCTGAAAGAGGAGAATATTAGGTTGAAGGCCACCTTGGACAACATAGTAAGACCCTATATCAAAGAAAAAAAAGCAACGAAGTAACTGCCATTAAAAACAGCAGTACCAACAAGTACAAAATAAACCACTTGTTATTTGGGTCTTAACGTATTTTTAAGCTCTCTCGTGCTGAACCATTTAGATGGCATTTTTTCTATTTATACTCACTTTAAGATTAGCTTTCTGTCATTTTTTTAGATGTACATAACCATTTTGAAATGCTGATATGGTCTCCCACATATTACAATTGCGGGCATTAATGGAATTTTAAATGTCTTAGTTACTTGATGAAGTGATAAGATGAAGCCAGCTAGTTTTATTTGCAAGCTTTTTATGCTATCAAAAGAAATCTTGCTAACATAAACCTTACATTTAATTTACTCCTCTGGAACTGTTTTAAATGTAGTAGTAAATGTATGGTGTGAGTAGTCGTATGCATTTTGCTAACGGGTTTAATCTCAACCTTTAACACAAAATAATTACTGTAGACAAATGGTCGAGAGGGCAATTAAAATCCTCCAGGCATCATTTCTTCAGATATAAGCAGCAAAATGACAACATCATTAGTCATTTTCAATTACAGTCAGTCACAACCAGTATGTTTCATTTTCCTAGCTATATTGTTGTTAATTAACTAGATTAAACTGTTTTTTTCTTTCGTCCTAATGAGTTTGTTCTACTGCCAATATCAACAGCTTAACATTTCCAAAAACTTCCTAAATGTTTTTTTTTTTTGCCTAACAGTCTTCAATATATTATTTAAAACTGATGTGTGTTTCAAGATTTATATATGGTATAGGAGGTTGAGTGGTGTCTTGTTGGTGTATTATTGTTCAATTAAATATATTATTATGATTACAACAGTATCTCAAGTTGATTAGTGTCTTGTTGGTCTGAATGTTGTCCAATTCAATATTATTAAAATTATGACAACATTTAGATTTACAAATGATCTATAATGCATGTACAATCCCATTTACATACTATCATATTTTATAACATCAGAAACCAATAGATAATAGACATATGTTATCTTTTAAATGGTTTCAAGTTTATTTTGACTGACTCAGTGAGCACAATGACAACAGAAAGAGTAGGAAGAAGATTTATAGAAAGCAGTTAACAATATTAGAGGTATTTTATGATTTTATAATTCATTAGCATGCGCAGCCACATTTCATTTTTTTAAAAATATAAACTTTAAGTTTGTTTTACAACTGACGAAAAAGTCTAAGACTATGAAAGTTTGGCTAAACGCTCATTAAACATAAAGAGCACACTTTCCCATTTGAAGATAAATTTTATAATAGACAGGAAAATTATCAACATAAACTTTTGGAGATATGGGTAAAATTGTCAAATGTCTATCTTTAACTTCTTAATTGTGTACTACTTTCAGATTTGCAATCTTACATTTTATAAAATAATACACTAATTTACAAATATCACTTTCATTACATTTATATTTTATGAAACAATATTATTCAAATTTTTCAAATATATATTCTACAGCTCACCATTTTTTGTCTTAGTTATTTGCAGTATGGTGCTGTTGGAATTCACACATGATTCTATTAACGTCCTCTGGCTAAGATCACTAGGAACATAACTGTAATTTAAAAATTAGTAATATTTAGCTTATTGCATCAGGGGGAGGGGCATCTCAGTGAGGACTTTAGGAAAAGCTTCTTACAAAATTCAGCTAACTGGGTGATTCAAAGGACAAAGTAGGGAAGTGGGAGGCATGTCTGGATTAGATGTAGTCATGAAACAGTCAGTGTGGTGATGAGGTATCCTCACAACTTTTATCTAGAAGGTGAGGAGATTAAATCAGGATGAGACCATGTCATTG